ATCGTGATGGGTGCTTGTCACTCGGGGAACTCTCCTGGCGGGGGCAGATGTCACTCTGATGCTGTTAAGATGACAAGCGCCAGAGGACAGTGCGGAGAGACTGACATTTTCTTTTCCCTCCCTCCGATGAATGGAGCGATGAAAGAAAAGGAAAAGCGAGTGGAACAAGAGGATGCTGCCATGTGACAAGCTCCACTCTGGCATTTGAATTAAACCTCAGACGGAGGAAAACAAGACAAAGAAAATAACACGCTCTGACAGCGTTATCGTTGTGTTTATACTCCTCTAGATATACGCTGAGCGGTGGCAGAATGAAAGCATTACAAGACTACATTATCCCACTATTGAAACACTCTTATCTCTGTTCTGTTGCAGCAGAATTGAGGGGAAAAATACGAGGATGAAGTGAACGAGTAGAAGTGACAGGTAAAAAATGAGCAGGAGAATGCGGAGGGAACGAGTCTAATCTTTCATACCTGAACGCGTTCGAAAAAAACAAACAGGTAAAACAAGAAAAGCAGAAAAAGAGGGAAAGCACAGCGCAATCTCTATCTACTCAGAGTGAGGCCCCCATTAACTTGACCGCATGCCCTTTGCACACAAAGGCTGCAGCCCTCAACTCCTCCCATCCAATTATGTGTGATTAGGCTGAGTGTGCTGTGTCAAGATGGAGGGTAACAATAAAGACATGCCACTCACTCTTTTGGGTCCCTATGCTGTTCTGTTCACGTACTTGAGCTTGAAACGCTCATGTATGCACCACTGCAGTCACAACGTAGGCGCTTCATCAGAATGTAGCGGTCATCTCCGTCATGCTTTTTGCAGTTACCATGGGTGCACTGTTTAACGGAGAGGGCCCTTGTGTTGATTCATTGGTGACTCAAACTGCAGAACTGAATGATGTTTTCAGAGACGGCGAAGGAGGGGAGTGCGCTCAATTAGCAGCCTCGTTAGAGGTAGTGATTAGCGAGGTCTCGGCTCTGAGAGAGGCCCCCTGGGGCAAGAGCAGGGCCACTGCCACTTCAGCGCTGTCACCGCAGGAACCCCCAGTGTGTCCCACAAACCCCCGATGATAACAGACAACTTTTGTTGCGCAACTATTAATGGTAATTATCAAGGCATGGGCTGAAACGATACGCTAGCATTAACGACGGAGAAAACACAGCCATCGTACGTTACTGGAGGGAAGAACGATTAGCCACCCGGGAAATTAGAGACTAGGAAATCAGAAGAAAATATCTATTTATCAGAAGAAGGAAAAAAAATACACCCGATGAGAGTTTAAAAGAGTTTGTGATGGCGAGAAAATGTCTGTGATTCAGTACAGCCGTATAACTATTCTGAGAAAAAATGGGAGAGGGGGCTGACGGGGGGTGCGATATTAAAATTCATGACTCTCTCTGCCAGCATTTGTATAAGAAAAAGATTAAGAGGGGCCAGGGTGGAGAAAGAAGCAGCATTATCAGCTTCTCTGCTGCACCGAGCAGCCTGTCTCTCTGCGCTGAGACTCGGGGGTTAAGAGGATAACTGCCCTTCTGCTGGACACCGCAGCTGCCTCTGCACTCATATCAAGCTCCATGCTCCAGACACATCACCTCATTCCCTGAGGATATAGAGTATTCACTCAAGAATATGCATTCACACAAAACTGACAAAAAAGACAAGAAAAACAACAAACAAACAAACAAACAACAACAGTACCACCACAACAACATTAAAATGTGGTGTTGTGGATGTGACCTGATGGTTGGTATGCATGGTTTAAACTAAATAAATCAAAACAATTTATTTGTTTTTATTTGTGTTTGTTTGTTCCAACATGAACAGAGATCTATATATAAAAAAACTCAACAAAAAATAAAAACACAATACAAATAAAAAAATTTTTTTTAATATTACCTTTAATAAAACAAGTCAGAGTCAGTCAATGTTGTTTTTCCCACAGTGAATAATTGGGGGTGTGAAGTAGTGTTAATATGTGAGAATAAAAAAATAGTTGCTGCTGAGTGAGCGGTCTTAAGGTCTGGTATTAGCGACCTCTGCAAAATGGAGCTGTTAGGCAATTCTCCAGAGACTGGTGAGAGGTGCTGCTCCATTGTGTGCGCATGTATTCCAAAGGCAAACAGAATCAGCTCCCATCTTAACAGGCTCAGTATTGCCGCCTGCTCTGTCTGACAGCAGATAAGAGGAACGATTCAATCAGGGGCTAATCCTCACCTGCCCATTCCAGACCGCATGGGTTCATCTGCATACTTCACCTCAGCATCCTGTCCGTGAGAGTCAAGTTTCCACTGTTTGTATGTGAACGGGTGGAACGAGTGAATAAATGCATGTATATGTGAGAAGACTGAGAAAGAAAAATTATAAGAACATAAGAAATAAACAAACAAACAAACAAAAAAAAACACTAAAGAAAGGAACAAACAAGCAGAAACAAAAACTCAAATAAAACTGGAACAAAACGAAACCTACAAACAAACAAAAAAACAAAAGCAAAAAATAAAAAGCAAACAAAAACAGAAATAATTTATTTTTTTAAATAAAAGCAAAGCAAACAAAATGTTTTGTTTTTGCATTTATTTGTGTTTGTTTCAACATAAAAAATAAACAAACAAAACAAACATGAAAAAGAGAAAAGGGGGGGGGGGGAAAAAAAAAAAAAAAAAAAAAAAAAAAAAAAAAAAAAAGGGGGGGGGGGGGAAATAAACAAACAAAAACAACAAAGGTGTGACAGTATAGTACTAGCTGACCGTGGTATAACCTCACCATAGCTACTCAAATCTGGGAAGACGTGAAGGTAACCTTACCAGGGTTTAATCCCAAGCTCTAATTGGAGTGAAACTCTACCTGTCTCCCTGATCCTGGGCTCAAATTGGAGGGTAACTCCACCTGACTTATTAATCCTGCATTCTAATTGGCTGGTAACCCTAGCTGGTGAACTAATGTGAATTTCTAAGTGCCACACATTGTGCCATGTGTCTCAAAAATATCTATCAGTGCTCTGACTGACGGTATTCTATGTCACTCCATTCAAAGGCCCTGATTTTCCCCACACTCTTTCACACCTTTACAAGTTCATACCTGTACTACAAACTCTTCATCCTGTTATGCCACTGATTTTAAACTAACAGCACTGATTGTTTCGTGTGGGAGTAGATACGTAGGTTGTATTTTAACAATTTTAACTAACTTAAAACGCATCGATGTCTTTGAATATAAAAGGTAAAGAAAAGTCACCTTGTGGACAGTTCTTTTTTGACGCTCATTAGGCTTGTAATTAATTTTGCAGCATGAGCACAAATTTTGACAAAAGGAGTAATTATTTTTCAATGCAAAAAGTGTCAATCTATAAATGATTTTCTCTTTGACAAAAGAAAACAAACTGTTCTGCTTTTTATCTATAGCATATGTGCGGCTGGAGCGATTTGAGTTCATAGATTTAAGTGTGATATTCAAGTGCTGGAGAGAGTGCTGATGTCTCTCAGCAGATATACAGACAGATATTGACAATTTAACATAAAAAAAAAACATGACAGAATGACAGAGCAAAGAATTCCCCCAGGCCAGTCGATCCCCGATACAACCCATAATAACATAATAATAATAATAATAATGTATTATTAGTAGTATTATTATTAATAATACTAATCATATTTACCACCACCATTTATGGTTAAGTATAAAATGCTCAAAATATTAATTTTATTTATTATAAAAAAAAAGAAAAAAAGAATACTGAATATAATAGAGTATATTAGTATATATATATTAAAATATATTTTGCATTAAACTTTATATATTATTATTATTAATATATAATTTCAGAGATTAGGGTCTGTTTTTTTTTTATATAGAATTAATTCACTAGCATTTTCCCAATTTGTCTAATGAGATCAAATAGATTTTTATGTTTTTCTTCTTGCACACTCTATTAGATTAAAGACAAACCCATTCAAAACATCTGAGTCAATCCTGCACTGATACATACTGATGTTCTTTCTTTAAGAGGATTGGGCAAATGTTTAACATTTCAGGTTTTAAAATGATTTAGTTAAAAATTACTGTAAATTTGCCATGAAATTTGACTGATGTTATTGTGGCTGTTTTTAATTAGAGGGAAGCTTAAGGTTAACAAACAAATATCCAAAAACAAAAACAGCTGTCTGGTGTGCCACGCACATCTGTTTCCTGACCAAAGAGATTAGAGTCTTCACCAGACACTCACATAACATTCAATACCTCACAGACTGTACCATAAACCCCAGCAATCAAAAAAACAATTCTTTTATGCCAGTCAAAATCATACAACATGATAACAGATTGCTCCTCCATCACACATGGCCGGTGCAAATTTCCATGTGAAAACAGTCAAAAACATAACGGATGTAATCATTGGCAGAAAAAAAAACACGCACATACAGATTCAATTTGCGATCTTGATTTTCAAGTGCAAAAATGAGAAATGAGTGACGAAAATTTGAACATGGCTTCTCCCTCTTCCACTCTCTCTGGCTATGTGCGTGTGTGCCTCTAAAAAGGGTTACAAATGAGACCAGCCCCCAGAGAGTATTCAATTTGGTCCTTATTTTCTCAGACAAATGTGTCGCTTTATCAAAGTGAATAGTCCAACCCAGGAAAGATAAACAATAATCTCATTCAGCGCTTAATGTTTTCCCCTTGCACTGCACCTAACTCAGCCCTCTCTTATCTCACAGCCAGGGTGCCAAGGGTCTTGGCGTAGATTAGCCAAAGGCATCAGACAGATAAGGACTATTAATCCAAATTGCATATGAAAAATATTAAAGCATTATGATGCATTAATCTAGTCATTGCATTATTTATCTTAATCGTTGAGTGGCAGTGTGTGAGCTACTCGGCACAATGAGAGAGGACACCTCATCGTGTGATGGGTTTGAGAGGAATTAAACCACCCGTATCAAAGACCTCCGGCGATATTAGCACCCGCTTTCATTCCCAGCCCCGTTCCGGGTGTTTCCAAACATATTAAACTACTGTACGTTACATGTAAGGGATGACAAGTTGAAGAACACATCATTAAATGCATCTGTCTGTCAGTACCCCCCGTACCAAGCGATCGGCCCCTCGTCTAGGGGGGATTCTCAGCAGGGTAGGGGAGGAACTGTCAGGTCATCTCTGATGTCTGCCACACTGGCCGCACATCTCCCCATAATCTGCCCTAATCTCTCGCCCGCTCACCTAATCAGAGCAATGAAACCTGAGTGATCGGCCGGAACAATGGGCGAGAAGAGCATTTGCTAAATTACTCTGCTAAAATCATATGGTGCTGCTTATTCAGACACTTATTCCAGTCAGTTATGTTACCAGTTGATGCTCTAACCCATTAGGTGTTTATGGGTATGTTTGCTCTTCTGGAACTAATGGGGTTGACAGGGTTTTTTCATTCACTGTCACTGAATAGATTATAATCTTGTGATCTGCATTTCTGGTGAGCTCTGCTTTGTTTACATCTCAACCATGACTTGGGTATTGGGTTTTAGTCCTTTCTCAAGCAAATCGATTTGACAATGAATCTGATATTTAATTTCCATCCCATTAAAGGAATTTTCTGGGTTCAGCTCAAATCATCAGAATTTGTGACAATTTTGATAAAAATATTTTTTTCTCTTGTGTGTTTTTTAAGGTCATTTGAGTTTTTTTCTGCATTAAAATGACATTTTACAATTTAATTTTATAATTTAAGGTCATTTGAGAGTTTTAAGAGTTAGGCATTATAAAGGCAATGAAGTTGTAAAATTGCATATAACAAAAATATATTGGATATTGCATAATACAACTGTATACTTTTACACTAAAATCATGTTAACTACAGTGTTGTTTATGTTTCATGGATTTACGATTTAGTTTTTGTGTTGTTTATGGATTGGCCCCATTCACTTCCATTGCAAGTCCCTCACTCTACACTCAAAAATAAATGTTCCAAAAGAGGTGTTTTGCAGTAATGCCATAAAATAACAATTTTGGGTTATCTGAATAACCTTTCAGTGAACAGTTCTTAAAAGAATGATAATTTTTCTTAGTGCAAAGTACATTGTTTTAATATGAAGAACCTTTTTGCACTATAAAGAGCTCTTTGCGTTATTCATGGAACCAGTAAAGAACATTTATTTTTAAGAATGTAACCTAGATTCTTTTTAGTTTTTTCAAGTGCTGTTGATTGAGCTTAACTTCTATTGAACCCAGACTATTCCTTTAAGGAATTTCCTCAAAAAAAAAATACAGCTTGCATTTTCCAGAGGCAGCTCATGTGTCTAAAATGCTCTAGTATAGTTTTCCACTTTCACATGTATTTGGAGCACCACAACAATAGTGGGTTTTCACAGGAAAGCCAAGGCTGTGTAGTTACACTGAGCGGAGTGTTTCAAAATGTCCTTTGCATTAAAGAAACAAAAAATTACTCATACGCCAGATCATCTAAACCCTTGAACAGATGGAAGGTATAAAATGTATGTGTGCATGTGTGAGAAGAATCATCATATTTTGCCACCATTGCCGGCGGTTCTTCCCTGACCACTGATGCATGAAGATGTTTAAAACAATGAAATAATGCTGTCACATCAGACCAGAAGGGAAATAACGTGATGCAATATCCTTTGTTACGGGGACCATCTGATAACTGTCATTCTCAGGTGCTACATGGGGGCGAAGTTGCCCCCGGGCACCGACGGGGTGGCAGAAATGTGCTTCCTTATGGCTTTTGCCCAATGTCACCACATGTGTCACATAATCAGAGCGTCACAGCATCAAAACCGACAGCAAGGCCCCTTTTCCCTCACAAATGTTCCCAAGCCACCTGCATGTTAATCATTGTCCTTCATATTTCAACCCGTCTCAATCTAAATCGTGCTTACTCTAAACCATCACAGTTCCTCACTGAGTAAAGGGAATTTGAACATCACCCCTGAACTCTCGGAGAGGAAGCTGTGATCACACTGCCGGGCTCTGATTAATAATCACTCGTTATTCACACTCACTACACTAAAATTATGCCTGGGGGAAATAATATTTCTGCCCACTGCAGGGTGCCCCGACCAGCCCCCCCTTCAGCCAATCATGCTGCAAACTTACGGCCCCCTCAAACGACATGCTCCGACGGTGCTCCTAATCTGCAAAGACAACAATGGAGACTAATTACACGTTTACGTCTTCAGTCTCTGCTCTGAGTGTAAATACATGACAAGGAGGGAGTGGAGGAAGAGGAGGAGCACTGCTCAACAGTTCAAAGTCAAAAGCTCTCTGAAGGACACAATGAAACACTTAAACACAGATCCTCAAGTCAAACATATTTTTTCACCCACTCAAATTCAGCTCAGTGCAGCAGTACATATTCAGATGCTCCGATAGGATTGTTCATCTGGCTTGAACTGTATCTGTGTCGGTGAGGAAAAAATGGTCACAAATCCTGACAATCTGGAGGCGCTTTTCTGTCCTTATGTTCTTTTTTTCTTACATTCTAATCATTAAGTCACATCCGTCAATAGCTTTATTATCTGCTTGCCTGCGAGCCTCTATCTTGCTATCGCCCTGTAGAGTAATTGCATTGTGACAGGGGATGATGGGGACTGAAGAGCCTTTCATTTGCAGGTTGGCGTTTATCAGTCAGAGCCATCACACGGGGCTGTCACTCTGCCATCGGCTCGCTCGGCCTGTCTGATGTCCTTCATGTAACTTTGCACGGACAGCAATTTTTTCATTTTGGCCTCTTTATCCTGGTGTTTATAAAGGTGTGTGTTTGGGCGGGGGACAGAATTCAAGAAGGATCCTGGATTAATATCAACATAATTAAAGGCATTAAAAAGTCTGAGACCAGTAGAGAGGCATTTTTTCAGTTGAATACAGTTTTTTTCCCTTTGCAAATGATACAATTAACATCAATTTCAATAAAAATGTGAATAGAAAAACGAATGATACTATATTAATATTTAATATGTGCATGAACCCTGTATGTTTGTGTTGATCATGTTCTTCAGCATGATTTGAGAATAATCCAAAGGGCATCTTGTGCTTCAACGGAAGAAAATCACAACTTTAACCTAGCTTAATATTTCTTATTCATTTTACACAATAATTCGATTTTTAAATGCAGCAACCAGTGGGTCCCCAACAGCTGGTCGTCATTGACTTCCTTAAAGCGGAAAAACAACTATAGAAGTCAATAGGAAACCAGGAACTGTTTGGTTACCCACATTCTTCAAAATATCTTCTTTTGTGTTCAACAGAAAAAAGAAACTTATACAGGTTTGGAACAACTTGTGGGTGAGCAAATGATGACAGAATTTTCATGTTTGTGTGAAATATCCCTTTAAGTGAATTTTCAATGTGCTATCAGAGTTTTGGACCCAACTGCACTATACAAATTTCTAAATTGCCTTTATAAAGCAAAACAAAAAAAAGTCTACAGGAGTTTTTACTCCCTCTTTCTCATCTGGAATGGACCGATTGTTACGTGTACAGGCACTCATGAAGACTGGAAATTAAAAAGTAAATGTGTCAATCAATAGCTCTGGCACAATCGTGTCACAGTCCTCCTCAGCAAAACGTTGATCTGAGTGCCTCGGAATAGAAATCATTGATTTATGGTCTTCCATCACTTTGTCCCTCTTCCCCTAGTAAATCCTCTCTACATTCCCCTCTCTCCTTTGTATTCATGCCCTTTAACGGTGCCCAGGTTCAAAAGAATTAACCTTGATTGGGATAATTGAGCCCAGGCCAAATTGGATTGATTGTGTTTTATGAACCTATTCTCTTCTTCTCAGTCGCTAGTCCCCCCTCCTTCCCTTCTCGTCTCTCATTCACTGACAATTTACCTCGCCCTTTTCTAGGTGTCATCATCACAGCCAAGATTTCATCTTTGTCCTTTTCTGTTCTTTTACTATGATTTGAACAATTCAATGCCAAAGCAGCCACTGTAAGACAGACATTGTGAGATTGCTATAGCGCAGGACTTTGCTTTTGTACAGGACATTCTGGACAAATGTTGAATGACAGCTATCTATTTGTCTTCTCCCTCTCTGAAGGAATAGCCATGTTACAAAAGCTCAACACCACTCCTGGAGCAACAATGCTGGACTGACCTTCAGCTGGTAGTATAGAAATGGGAATGGTGAACAATTTAATGATTCAGGTTATTCAATGGCTTAATCAAGGCTTCTTTTAGCATTTTGAAGTAATAAATATTTGTGAAAAAGAAATGCTATTCCATTGCCAAATTATCAAATGATTTCCTCAATAAATTCAAAAACAATTATTGCAAAAGATGTCTTTACACAGACTTAATTACTATCCTATTCTGTCTTTTTAGAGGCGAGATAAATGCAATCAAATAACTGCACTTGTTGGTAAACTAAACAGCAATACTAAACAAATTAAAGCGTGCTAAAATAATTAATTAGCTACTATTTGTAAAATACTGCCGCAAAATACATAATGCATATCTTTATACACTGTCATATCAACAACCCGTCAGTAACTACTGATTTAATTCTCAAAGTTAAGCTGTAAGCTGTATGATTCACCAAAAAAGAAAAAAAAGGTTAATATGATTTATTCATTCAGGAATCAGACTACACTAGTTGCACTGCATGGGGTTGATTCACTAAAAAGAATCGGTTTATTAGAATCATTCGTTTGGGATTGAACAACACCAGTTATGCTGCATGGGGTTGATTCACCAACAAGAACCAATTTATAAGTTATTCATTTAGGAATTGGACTTCACTAATTGCATTTATTGAATTCACTATAAAGAGTCGACACAGAGTCATTCGTTCAGGAATTGGACTACACTACTGGTTGCACTGTATAAGTTTGATTTACTAAAATAACTGATTCATAAGAGTCATTTGTTAGTAAATTGGACAACACTGACTGAGCTGTACGTTTTGAATTCACTAAAAACAGACAGATTCATAAAAGTAATTATTTCAGAAATACGAGTCATTTGGGAATCAGACTACAGTTTGATTCAGTAAATTCATAAGAGAGATTTTTTTTGTGAATCGGACTTCACTAGTTGTGCAGTATGGGTTGGATTCAATTAAAAGGACCTATTCATAAGAGTCATTTTTTTGGGGGAAATGGACTACATTAGTCCCATTGTGTGTTTTGAGTTCACTAAAAAGAACCAATTCATAAAATTAATTTGTTCGGCAGTCAGACATCAATGGTTGTGCTGTTGTGTGTTATGGATTTATAGCAGTTGTGGTATTGCATGGCTGACGAATAAGTAATGAGTCATTCAGTTCCAGTGTGTTTATTATTATTATTACTTTTTTTTTAAATGGAATCGATTCTGAATAAGAACGGGTTCTCGATTCCCTATCTTAATCAATACCCAATGCAGTCCACTCACTGGAGAAAGAAACGTTCTCATAGCTTTCTCAACTTTCATACAGTTTGAGTCGTGAGGGACAAAATAAGAATTTCCTCATGACGACACATGGCAGACTGTGTGAGTGTGTGTATACCCATAAGTGGCTGGGCCACACTGAAAAGTAAAGGAAGCAGGCAGTCAATATCATAAGCGGCTTACAAGCAGGCGTCCACTGCCTCTCACAACAGATAGAGAGAGTCTTGTATAGCAGCCCTCTCTGTCAGCTCAAGATTAGTGGCAGCGAGAGGGATTTCATCACCTTTATTCAGAGCGGAAAAAGGAAGGGAAGATTGCTACTCTGGAAATGTGCATGCACAAACTACTGTAACCATCCCTCCTTCCCCCCCCTTTCTGAAAAAAAATTGCTCTATCCGTTCTCCACAGAGGCCCATGATTGCTCCACACTTCACTGGACTTGAGAGGCAAAGCCGGAAGGACAATAAGCCACAGCAGATACATTAAAGGCCCTCTAACACTGTCCAGGTTACTGACGGATGAGTTTCTGATAGCGGAGAGAGGGAACAGGTGAGGAGCTCTGCGCTGAATGTGTGCGATTACAGAACCTCATGAACCTGCACAGCCTCACACAAAGCTGAGAGAGGTCTGTAGCGTCCCTGATTATGGAGAAGCTTTCGGCAGAGCAATATACAGTATCTCCAGCATGCCATATTCAAATGAGGAGTCTAATGGAGCAAAAAAGTGGGTGGGAAGTGGTTAAGAAATAAATAAGTGATGCAGGTGTTGGGAATGTAAATGCATTGAGGAAAAAAGTAAGCTAAGCTTCAGTCAGCCAGTCTGCTTGGCAAAGCACATCCTTACATAGAGGTAGGCTAAAATCATTTCAGCTTCAATAAACTAACCTCCATCCTTCCCCGTCGCACACGCACCCTCTCAGAGGAGCCGAGGGGAGATCATTCACATCAGCTTAGGTCAAGGTTTTTGAAGCTGTTCGGAGTGTCAGAGACCTCAGGGGCTCAATCGACGAACATATCCCACAGTTCTCTCAGAGACGGACAGACAGGCCCATCTCTACTTCCTCTAGAGTCAAAGTGGACTTTACTTAACTTAATTTTACTAGTTGACCTAGCAGACCTGCAAGGTTTGAATCAGAACGTCTCCGGGCACTCATTTAGCAGAGCTAATCTTCTTAAAAGGTCAGACAAAGAATCGTTTCTCAAAGTGTTTTGAGATGGCACAGTGCACATTCACTGTCTGCCGGAAGAAACACGCCAAAGCAAATCAGCCGGCAGTGCAGCTGTACTCACCTCTTCAAACATCACAGTAACCACATATTTTCAGTCCTGTCTGACTTGACCTTGTCCAGATTTTTCTAAGCACTGATGACTGCCTTTATGATCTAAAGCTCTCTTTTTGTATGAAAAAGCCGGCCTTTGGATGACAGGGGAGGCAAAGATCAGAATATTGAAAGAAATGTGTTACTCTAGTTGGACTCATCATGAATTGTCTCTCCCATTCTCTTGATCTTTTACATTCTCTACTGTTTCTTTCAGGTTAATTGCCTGTTAACCCTCCACTTACAGTAATTACTGGCCCCAATTACCATCTGACAGAAGTGCAGGACGACTGGGAGAGAATATATATTTTTCCCCCTTATTTTTGATTACTTTCATCTAATATCTCTAGTTTGTACAGACATATACTTAGGATAATTAAATTTAACATTTTTAAGGAAGGGACATTCATCTGTTTGACACCAAAGTTACAAATATCTTCCAAATTGAAAAAAATAAGTCAGTATACAATACTGGTTCTCATTAAAATACCCCTGCTTCCAAATTTAGGGGAATAACAGCATTTATAAAAAATAAAGGCTCTTAAATGGTTCTTTGTTGAGGTTCCATGAAAAACCTCTAATATCCACAAATATTACTTTTTTTCATCCCACAAAATGTTCTTTGTACACTATAAAGGTTCCAAAAGTTTTTTTTTTGTCAGCTATGCCACATTCTTAAAACATTAAAATTGTAAAACGGGGGTTTCGCAGCAATGCTACAGAAGAATCATTTTGGGTTCCAAATAGAACCTGTCCGTGAACAGTTAAAAGAACAAAATTTCTTTTTAAGAATCTAACCTTTTCCACTATAAAGAACCTTCTATACAATGGAAAAGTTCCATAGATGTTAAAGGTTCTTCATGGAACTATAAACGCCAATTCCTCTACTTTTAAGAGTGCATAGAACTAATTTAGGTTCTCCAAAGAACCTTTCTAAAACAAATTCTTAAAAGAACCGTTTTTTTTCTTAGTGTGAAGAAGATTTCAATAATAACCTTTTCTACTCTAAAGAACCTTTTATGTTACGGAAAGGTTCCATGGATGCTTATGAAACCATAGATGCCAATAAAGAACCTTTATTTTTAATAGTGAAAAGTGGTTCTTTAGATGACAAAAACCTTTTTTTTTAAGGTTTAGGTTCTTTGTGGAACCAAAAAAGGTTCTTTGTGGCATCTTTATGTTTAAGAGTGTATAGCAGCATACATCCTGTTCAGTGTACATTCTGTATACGTTTTTCCTTTTCACAGTGATTTGCAATAAAGGTTAATGTACGTCAACAGTATTTAAAACAGGATAATGTAACTCTCCAAACGAGAGCAGGCATGCACACTTCTTTAGCTTTGCTCGGTTGTTACACAGTACATATAAGTGCAGAAAACCAAACAAGAGCTGAAGAGTCGACAACCCATTTTTTCTTCAATGGTTAAAATGGATCACGAACAAGCAGCTACAAAAACACAACGAAAGTCTGAGATAAGCCCAAGTGTTTGGTTTGACATTAAATAGAACTTACAGAGGACATGATGTTTTAAATGAAAACATAACTGCTTTTTTGAATATTTTATCTGCAGAAATGATTTTGTCAAGAGTGCTGAAATGGCTCCCAGGGACCCTCGAGCACTTTGCATTTTCCTGCCTTTTCTTTCCAGCTATTCCCCACAGACGCGTCTTCGTCACTGCCTGGCAGATCCAACATTCACAATTTTCCACCTCCATACACCCCTAATTACAGGAGACACAACTGGCACAAAAACTTGCAAGACTGTAAGTGTAGCTAACTTGCAGTGTAACAGTTGTCACTGATATAAGAATGATGTCTTTAAACAATCACAGAATTTGGTGGAATACTGAGAAACACTTTACAATAAGGTTCAATTCATTAACATTAGTTAATAAGCGAAGTAACAATTAACATTTTTACAGTATTGAATGTTGTTTAATGTTTAATTATATACAAATATTTTTCATTCATAACTCATTTTCATAAAGTTATTTATGTCATTTGAAATGTTAAATATATATACATATATATATATATATATATGTGTGTGTGTGTGTGTATATAGCCTATATAAAAACATTAACAGATTAATAAATGCTTGTTTATTGTTAGTTAAAGATACCAAATGCATTAAATGATAATAAAGAATTTAACCTTACTTTAAATTGTCAGTTTGTGTGTTAAAAAGCATTAACAATTAAGTGTTTAGACATTGTTAAGAGAAATCACACAAAACCTCATTTCTATTTACATTTTCCAAAACAAGAGCTCATTTAGTAGGCAAAAATAGTCTTAAAATAACTTAAAATGAATGTTTACTGTTTTCAACATAAAGGTTTACTTCCAAATAGCCAGAAAGCAGCATTGCACACAGTGGAGACGTCTTGTGTATAAACCTGTTTTTTTGGCATCAGTATGTCAAAACTGTACTTTTACTTTGGCAAGATGAGCGAAAGGAAACATAAAAGGATTCCTGAGACCATTTACAACTACAAATGGTCAGAATTTTGCAAAGCCACTCAAAATAAGGTCATCAGAGCTGGCATGTGAAAATACCTTCAGCTGATTTCAACTATGGCTAAGGGCTATGTTCAATCTGCTCTTTTCCTTCTCATCTTGCTGAACTAATCATAGAATGACAGGACGCAATCTAAAATATTATCTTATGAAACGAAACGAACATGAGAGTGCCATTTTTAGATCTGAATTTAATTTGCAACACAATTCCATGATTTCACAGCTCCCATATTCTTCCTTATTACTTTGATTTGGCGTTCTAACAAAAATGCTCAGAGAACGGTCATGTGCTCCACTCAAGGTTAATGGATCTGCAGCTGTACAGGCAATCTACAGAGAGAAAGATGACCTCTTGTATTATGAAAGGTTTATTGCTTTGCGAGATCTAACGTTGCCTATTTGGTTCAGTCTAGCTACTGGCATTCACCTTTTGGCCTATTGTGACATGCAGCTGCAGGAAAGGACAGTGTCTATATGTACACTGTTCAGCAGAGCACATTGCAATGAAAAGCCTATCAAATGCTTTACCCAGCTATTTTTTTATCCTCTTTGCTGAGTATTTCTGATTTCAACATCTTTTCAACAAAAAGCATCATACTGCTACATTTACTACTTTATTCAGATTTTTATACAGTGCAAAAGTCCACATGCTTTGAGGCATTCAGTAAGGTTGTGTTAGAGGGGAGAGCGACTAAGTGACCACATAAATATGCACATAGAGAAAACACACACACACACACAAACTCTCTCTCTCTCTCTCTCACACACACACACACACACACACACACACACACAGCACATGTGGAATATCTGCAATCAGCATCCAACTGTTCTGCATTCCCTCCCACCCTGTTAAAAACATATATATATATATATATATGTGTGTGTGTGTGTGTATATAGCCTATATAAAAACATTAACAGATTAATAAATGCTTGTTTATTGTTAGTTAAAGATACCAAATGCATTAAATGATAATAAAGAATTTAACCTTACTTTAAATTGTCAGTTTGTGTGTTAAAAAGCATTAACAATTAAGTGTTTAGACATTGTTAAGAGAAATCACACAAAACCTCATTTCTATTTACATTTTCCAAAACAAGAGCTCATTTAGTAGGCAAAAATAGTCTTAAAATAACTTAAAATGAATGTTTACTGTTTTCAACATAAAGGTTTACTTCCAAATAGCCAGAAAGCAGCATTGCACACAGTGGAGACGTCTTGTGTATAAACCTGTTTTTTTGGCATCAGTATGTCAAAACTGTACTTTTACTTTGGCAAGATGAGCGAAAGGAAACATAAAAGGATTCCTGAGACCATTTACAACTACAAATGGTCAGAATTTTGCAAAGCCACTCAAAATAAGGTCATCAGAGCTGGCATGTGAAAATACCTTCAGCTGATTTCAACTATGGCTAAGGGCTATGTTCAATCTGCTCTTTTCCTTCTCATCTTGCTGAACTAATCATAGAATGACAGGACGCAATCTAAAATATTATCTTATGAAACGAAACGAACATGAGAGTGCCATTTTTAGATCTGAATTTAATTTGCAACACAATTCCATGATTTCACAGCTCCCATATTCTTCCTTATTACTTTGATTTGGCGTTCTAACAAAAATGCTCAGAGAACGGTCATGTGCTCCACTCAAGGTTAATGGATCTGCAGCTGTACAGGCAATCTACAGAGAGAAAGATGACCTCTTGTATTATGAAAGGTTTATTGCTTTGCGAGATCTAACGTTGCCTATTTGGTTCAGTCTAGCTACTGGCATTCACCTTTTGGCCTATTGTGACATGCAGCTGCAGGAAAGGACAGTGTCTATATGTACACTGTTCAGCAGAGCCCATTGCAATGAAAAGCCTATCAAATGCTTTACCCAGCTATTTTTTTACCCTCTTTGCTGAGTATTTCTGATTTCAACATCTTTTCAACAAAAAGCATCATACTGCTACATTTACTACTTTATTCAGATTTTTATACAGTGCAAAAGTCCACATGCTTTGAGGCATTCAGTAAGGTTGTGTTAGAGGGGAGAGCGACTAAGTGACCACATAAATATGCACATAGAAAACACACACACACACACACAAACTCTCTCTCTCTCTCTCTCACACACACACACACACACACACACACACACACAGCACATGTGGAATATCTGCAATCAGCATCCAACTGTTCTGCATTCCCTCCCACCCTGTTAAAAACGCAATTTCTCATGGAGTGGTGAATATGAAAAACAAACACACACGTAAATCACTTCCACCAGTAAATTACCTGAGTCCCGATTACATCTGACCTTTCACCCTGCTGTCAGTACCCAATTACAACCCCTCTCTGAGAACACGGCACAACCTTGGGATTGGTATGTCAAACACAACTTCTTGAATTCAGATAGAGCTACGCAAAATCTCTGAGCTCTGTTTGTGTGGTCTGCTTGTCATTTCTCTCATCTCATGACCTGGGAATTGTTCACCATTTGGGTATGTGCTGCCAACCAGTGAATTTTATGGCAGTGAGTATTTCATGCTCACATATTTACAGAATGTGTCCACTATATGGTGTAAAATATATGTTTAAACAATATAATTTTATATGTTTATATTTTAATGTGTTTAAACAATAAATATAACAATATAATTAAATTAATACAACTAAATAAATAACAAACTAGATCTGATCAAAACTGTGTACGATATTAAGATTTGCTCCAAGAGAATATGTCTTGAATTAGGTTATTACATCATTTGCAAATAGATTTTTTCTTTCCTTTTTAAGTGAAAACAAATCCTGCTTAAAACAAGAAGAAAAAAAATCAATGATATGAGAAAAAAACAACTTAATTCAAGAAAGATTCGGAAAACCATAAACATTTTTTTAATATAAAATCACATAAAATAATGATATATGTAATAATTAGATATATAAGAAAAAATAAAGATTTTTTTAAATGCACGGTGCCAAAGTCAAGTAAATTTTTTTTAGAGAAAATATATTATATATATATATATTATATAACATAATTTTCTTGTCTTTTTTGTCTTTTATGGTGTAAACACCCCTGCTTAAAACAAGGAAAAATAATTTGACAATGATATGAGAGAAAAATAAACTTAATTCAAGACATATTTTCTGAAAATTGTAAGCAATTTTGCTTCAAGTAAATAGATCTTGCTAAACAAGGCAAAAATACTGATTAAAACAATTTTTTTGCACGTCAAATCTACCATCTCAGACTTCAAGCAGTCATTATTGTTTAAACAAAACAATTAAGATTCTCCACATCTCTATTCTTTCTCACTATCCATCTCTCTGTATTTTCACACACACACTCTCTCCTCTGCATTGCTAAAGTGCTGCATTAATCATCTTAAGTCTCTGGTCAATATGCAGGCGAAGAGCAAAGCGGCTCAGCTCTCTGCTTATTTAACGGCTCAGTGCTTTTCCACCTCTGTGGATTAGAGAAGAACGACCTGCATTTACACATTTATTCACTCCACAGAGACCTGCTCATCTTCCACTCTTCACTATCAGAGAGAGAGAGAGAGAGTGACCTCACTGGCCATCAACTTACTGTGCAAAACACAGTGTTCTCCAGCTTGGCTGCCTGTGTGCATACTCCAGTGATACCGCTGGAGAACTCGATGGATTGAAACCACACAGTGGATTAAATTGCTCTGTTATGAAATTGCCCTAAAAGTGATAAGATGAACAGACACAAGGGGAACAGCCTTTAAACATAAT